AACGAAAATTCCAGTGTAGGCCCCCAGAGACCGACGCCGGCCACACGGAAAGTTCACTGCCGGTCCTCAGGGATTGGCGCCGCGCTCAACGTGCTAAGATACTCGAATTCTGACACTTGTAGGCGCTATTGCTAAATCGAGAAAAAAGTCTACGCAGAGCATGCTCCGTCAGTACTGTTGTTCTTTCATCAAACTACAGCGTCAGAGCTGAAGAACGAAACTTCCGAATACAGATACATACAAATATAAAGAGGAAGTCTGTGAAATATGTATCGTATCATATAGCCTTGAAATCCCATATGAAAATAAACCGTATGAAAAGAGACTTTATAAAAGGGGAGAAAAGGACATTATCATTAAAAATAATTTTCTGTTTTAATTTTTTAGAATTTATTTTTATTTTGTTCAATTAAAACTTAGCTTGTTAAGAAAATTTCAAGCTGAAGTGTGTTGAAATCTAGCCAGACTGATTAAAGCCGGACTTTTGGCTTTCATTAGAAAAATCTTCCAAAAAAGCAGATAGTCTTGAATACTTTGTTTAAAAATAACTAAACCTTCTACACAAAAATATGTGTTCCCTCTAAGCTGTGCGCGTACACTGCCGCTCGTTCATTATTGCGAAAAAGTACAAGTGTTCTACTCGTAAATTCCTGTGAATACAGTGACTAAGGATATTAACAAAATATTCATGATTATCCATGTAGTTATAAATAAATTTGAGGGAATATTGAGAGACTTCAAAATAAGTCAAATGAAATAACACACTAATTGTGCAGGTGCAAATAAATTATTCTCATACACCAAATTCCGAGATCTCAACTTCAGCAACAGCGACCGTTATACGCAAAGCATTCCAGAAATACACAAACAGTGAATACATTTACGACAACAGAAAATCGGTAAAAATGAAAAACAGCGCATTTGCTCCAATTTGCCGTCGGTAGACCGAAACGGCATGTCACCTAGTCCGCAATTTCCCTGAGAATGGAAAGAAATCGACTCTCTCAAGGAATACACAAACTAGTGAAAGCCAACTCTTTGCAAATGTCGTCCGATAACGGGAAATTACGCCATTATCGAATCTCATATTTTTTTTGGCCTGAAGAATAAAAAAAGCCCTTTTCGGTAATCATTTCTTTGCTCTCTCGGAATAGAACACAAAAGATAAGGACCTTTCCATTTCTAATGGAATAATAGTTCAGAGCTCTTTTAAGGAAGTACACTTTCAAAAGTAGACGAAACCACTTAGACGGCATTTGGACATAGAGCAAAGGGAAAACTTTATGTACGACTGAAATCAGCGGTAGCTTAAATAATCTTAGCTCGTAAAAACTATCTCAAATTATTTCTCCCTTTCCGACGAGTTTTTACGGAAGAAATCATAGCTTTACATCACGCGCCACTATTTTACTCATGCTGCGTAAAAAGCAAATTCCAGACATAATCATTAAAATCATTCAGAGTCTATCCGAATAAAACTGTTAAAAATAATTTATTTCGTACAATATTGGTTATCCTATACACGAAACAGGGTCATGTCTATACAGTACAAAGTCTTTAATTCGGACGTCCATAATCCGGAATGATCTATAATCCGGACCCTAAAAGCTACAAACTTTCTGCGATGCGTAGCGTTTACTCATGCGCATAATACCTTTACGCATGCGCATATGCGTTTACACATACGCATAATACGTTTACGCATGCGCGTTTAATGTATAACGGACGGTATAAGCTAGGCTAAAAATTATCTAATTCTCTATTTCAGTTAATGTTGCAGATTGCGTTGTTCCTTAATCTTCTAATTGGATCCGGCTTATTATTTTTGCAGACTGTTAGAGCAATTTTATAAAAAGTAAGCTGGAATTTTCGATTATCTCAAAAAGAGTTTCCGATTCTGGAGCTGCCAAAGGATCTACAAAGCGAAAGAATGTTTCGATGTCCATCAAACAAAAAGTGGAATTGTTGCAAAAAATGGATAAAAACATGAAGAAAGTGACAGAGGGGTTAGTGAAAACGAAAAAATTTCGATTGACAAGTTAGTCGGTATTTTCGGCACAGAAATTACAGGACTTGAATAGCGGAACTTTGTAACTGAAGAAGAAATTATCTCTGTTTATAGAATTAAAGAGAAAGTACTAGCACATAAAAAGAAGCAATTTAAACAACTTACATTGAAACAAATGTTTAATAAAGTAAACAAATAAATATTAAGTTTTTTTTTTTTTTTGTAAATTTTGATACCCTTTAGATCATAAAAATTGATGATCTATAATCCGGAAAAACCCCTAGTCCGGAATCGCCGAAGTCCCGACGAGTCCGGATTAAAGACTTTGTACTGTATAACAAAGAGTTAAATTCTGTTGCCTGTTCATGGAGAAAAAAAGAACCTTCATGTTTCTTTAGCGTCTCAAATTTTAAAGGGCACAATTAACATCAGCAGTCGGACTATCTAAGTCGACTTGTCACATACTTTTAAGTATGCACATTCAGTCTTTATAACTGTACTGAAGTTTCCTTGTTTTAAATCATAAATTTCTAATTCTAGAATATACTCAGCAACACTCAACTGAACTAAATACGCAAACAGACTTAAGGCATGTAGGCCTACTTAGATAATTTACTGGATTCAACTTTTACTTGCGGTAATTTTAGTAAATTGTGCTTCAATGAACTTTTAACAGAAATCGACGTGAGGTGTCCCTTCCTCTGCAAAATTCGCAATTACACGTTCTCCGTAAGTACAGCTTATAAATCCGTAAGTACAGCTTTGTGTATAAAAGTCCCATGAAACTTTTATACACAAAAATGGTGCAAGTCTAAGAGTAAATTATCATTAAAATTTATATGTAGAAAATTTCAAAATTCAACTTTTATTGGCTTTAATTTCAATAACATGCCGCTCAATGCATTTTGGCAAAAATCAACGTACGGTACAAGTAAAATTCTTCAATACAGATTTTCCAAAATGAGACCTATGAATTTCATAAAGCAAAGGAAAATTACAATTAATTTCTATAGGAATTGTTTTCCCACATATGGGAAACCAGACACTAAAAATAATTAATCAAATAACGGACAAAACATGAAATGAAATTCAGTACATGCAGAACTTGGTTTGGTTTGGTTTACTTGGAGATCTTAAAACATGCAAGAGCTATCTGCCTAGGGGAAATTATGAGTTCGTGAAGGACTAACTAAGGGAAATTGACTCGTATCTATGTTACACACGGGGAAATCCATGCAGCCAGCCCGTTCGCCTAGAATCGAACCCAGATCGAAATGCTAGTGTTCAGCGTCTTTACCGCTAAGCCGCTGGTGGGAGACTAACGAATAGCATATGGTAAAGTAGAACTAATTTATGAGCAATGTTGTTTCATTAGTGGAATCTACGAAATAACAAGCACATTGTACTAAGTTATTAGATTGGCAAAGCTTATTTAGGGCTATCTGCCTAAGGGAAGAACTACCTCTGTGGAAGATTTCCTAAGAATACTTTGTATTCACGTTACGCATGGGAAAAACCACGAAAGCGAGCTACTGGCAGGCAGAAAGTCGCGATCACGGATTGAAGATTAATGTGCAATTATGATCCAAGAAACTTATACTGCGCAACCATTTTAGCACTTAGCTTAATCCACCACCACACTCCCGCTTGCATTTACAGGGAATAAACAGCACAATAGAGAGAAGAGAGTCCCCTGTTGTACAAAAACTTCATTTCTCTTGGGATACTTTCATGACAGAGCCGAAATCAGAATGCAAGTCGGCCAGTGTCCGCCGACAGAAACCTCCAGCAAGGCATGCGGGTATAAAGATGTTAATATAAGGCAAACGACAATGCAACTTACATAAAAATGTCGCTGCATTTATGAAGTTTGCTTTTTTCAAGTTTAAAAACTGATCTTCATGATGAGTAGGCACTTTTAGGCTAAGGTATCCCGGTAAAAGTTTCTCTGTTGGCGAACGTTAGCTGATTTCATAACTTTGATAGAAAGCCTTTTGCAGTATATCTTCCTCGTGTATCTTTGTAATACAGTGGTCAGCAGATTTAGTTAGCAGTCTGGAAGCTTCAAGCTTATTTCTGGCGAGATCACAAATGACTTTACAAAATTCCTGCTTACAAATAACGATAATTTTAGACTATTAATAATCCGGCTATTAATAAACTTATCAGTCCATGATATATCGCTCATTATAACCAGGCTAGGCAGGGAAAGCAGGTGCATGAAGTATATTACGTGCTTCTACCTCGATGTAGGAAGTTGATGTCTAAGTCTACTTTGGCTGTTGACCTGATGGCTTAAAATACTGCACATCTGTCTTTTACTATTTTCAGTTTAGTTGGATATGGCAAAGCATATTAGCGCCTAAGGGTAGAAATGCCTTCGTGGAGGGCTTTCTAAGGGGAACTGACTCATATACACGTTACACATGTAGAAAACCATGAAAACGCCCATGCAGCCAGCCCATTTTCCTAGAATCAAAACCAGGTCGCAACTAGCAGTGTTCAGAGATTTTACCGCTCGGACGCTGGTGTTAAGAATAACTGAACTTACACTTAGCAGTAATGTTTCAGCTTTAATAACTGGTAAAATTCTGCATTGATAATAGCATTAATTTTAGCAAGCTGCCGTAATACGGATAAAGACAAAGACACAGGTTGCCCGGCTCTGGAATTTCTGTAAACCGCAAAATATTCCAAATTCTGCATATCGCCTAAAAATTTTTCAATCTCTGGGACAACAACATTCATTTTTAATTTCATGGGCCATGTTTTTAGCACAACATTTAATGCCAGCCCTGTTTTATACATACAGCACAGTTTCTATCACTGCATCTAGTGTCTCCAGAGTACTGTCAAGAAATTAGACGCGAAAGCCTTCAAACCGAAATTTTATATAATTTGTTAATATCTTAGAAAATGAAAGTTATTCTTAATTAAAAAAAAAAAGATTTCTCAAGATGAAAACTATATAAATTATAATTTCTTTCAATAGGCTCGACTGCAATCAAGATGACACTAGATCACCTCAAGACATTCCTCTACCTTGCTGTCCTTGTTCAGATAATATGGCTACCATTCACTTCTGGCACAGGTTGCATCTTTTTGCGCGACGACCAGAGCATTCGGTGTCAGAATACGAGCCTAGAAGACATCGGGGAATCCCTTCACATCCTGACTATGGTCGTCATGAACAGGCCACAGATTATTGACGTTGAAGACTGTAGCGGCAGTAAGCAGCTGCCGCCTATCTTCGAGGGCATATCCAATGTCAGCATCGACACTGTTCGAATCCGGAGGTCCGGGATTCAGGCTCTGGACCCGGACGTTTTTGTGCCTGTTGCCAACACCCTCAGGGATCTGGACTTATCCCACAATGCACTAAGAACTGTGCCCCAAGCCGTTGCCGTATTATGGGCCCTAGAACACTTAAACCTGCAACATAACCGGATAGTGTTCCTCAGGCCCAGTGGGGCCCTTGATGGGCTGCCTGTGTTAAGGGAGTTAAATTTAGCCCACAACTATATCGGGCAAGCAAAGGATGTGGCGGATGATTTTACGCAGCAACATGGATACCAACTCAAAGGTAAGAAGAATACCATATTATTTTCGAATAGAAAGATTATGAACTTCAAGGTATAACATTTTTATGTTTAAATTAAATACTGTAAGAGAAAATGCTAATTAGTTCATAGCAATTTTCCGAATGTTACATGTATCCACCAAAAGACAAACAGGAAAATTTAGCAACATGATTTATCAAATAATTATACAAAATATACAAAATAACTGTACAAATAATTATACAAAAATACTTCAATAAATGACAAAAGACATACATCAATTGGAATGGCAAAATATGTTTCTGAAGAATGGAGGTCGTGTCACTTTTCTCCTGATGCAGTTGCTTCATAGAAAACGAGATTTGAACGAAAGCTAAATTTTGCCAAATATTTAAAAAGGTTTCCTATGAAATAGCTATTTCATTTAAGAGACGAAGATAATTTTACTACTTGAAGTATTCACATTCAATTTGAAGTATGAAGGACTTGCATAAACTCAGCTTCCAGAGCAAAGAGTAAGGTTATTAAGTTTTAATTTTTTAATTTTTATTTAATTTCATTAGGCGGAACAATTTTACTTTTAATACGAGTCAGAAGTTAGAAAAGAAACCTCATGACATGTGCAGGTCGGTTAGATTATGAAAATGTGGTTAATCTTTGGATTATGGTAACTTGGCGATTTTTTGGCGAAAATTTGGCGACCAAACCGGCTAGTTTTGTTTTGGACGCCATTTTGTTTTCACGAAGTAAAGGCATTTTTTTCCCTTACTCAACATTTTTTGCCAACAATCTGCTGCCGAATTACGCTTATGCTAGAACTTTTATGGAACAAAAGTGCTTAATCATGACGAAGATTAGGTGCGAACAATGTGCAGAATCGTCCACTGCTTGCCGCTTTTTTAAGAATTGCACATACACGGTATCATCCACGTACACGTCGATCTATTTTTACTTTAAAAAAAATCCCAGAATTGCGCAAAAATGGCATTGCGCACACTCTTGACTTTATCCATGTACACTGCTAAAGTCCTAGATAGTAACCTTTATCGCCTTAGCAAAATGTCGCCAAACTACCTGTTACCATATTCCAAAGATTAGCCGAGAATGTTAATGACTACGTATTCAATTTTTTTTTATTACGTTACCGTAAGTATTACAGTTTCCCTTTAAACACATTCTTGGCAGGGAATAACTCTTAAAAACTGGAAAAAAAATGCAATGCAATTATTATGCATTTTAATCATGAAAAATTTAAATTATTTATTTTAAACGGAAATCGTTTATGCCTAGCGCATCGAGTGTTAATGTCCAAAATAGCTGAAGCAATTCAGAAAGCTTAAAAGAGAGCATCATTAACATTGCTATTAATATCCTGAATACTACACCATATAGTTATACAATTTTTTAAAGGTCACTACAAAGGAACTCTTACTTCAGCCTTGATTTAATCGATATTAAAAAAGAATAGTCGTAATCGGATAGCATAACGCATTCAGGAAAGGTATAAGAGGTTTCTCAAATAATGTTTTCGAAAAGAAAGAGTTGTTGCACTGATCCGAAAGGTGTCAAAACACCGCGGAAGTTACGGGAACGCGCATTTGATGCGTTTCAAATTATGCGCTTGAACATGTCTTCACTATTTTTTTCCCCCACTACAATTTAATCCACCAACTTTCTTGTTATTTTTTTGCAACAGACAAAGGAACGATCATGCCTCAATGATCAGGTTAGATCAGGATAATTAATCCTTTATGTAAATTACGTATGCGACTTCCGATTTCGGAGTTCACAGTATGATACAAATACTTCAACAAAGCGTGAAGTTTGTTTTAAGACTGAATTTGCACTTAATTCATCCAGAATACGGATTATATTATCACAAAGCTAAATGAAATTATAACATAAGAAATAAATGAAGAAAATAGTTACAGTTCTAGGAAAATAAAACATGTTATCGTTGCTTATCCAAGCGCACTATAGTCATACTGACAAGGAATGAAAGTCAGCTGCTTTAACAATATTCCAGTTTGAGCCAGAACAACTCACAGGTTAGATTCCTCTTTTCTCCTAGAGTTTCTGTCTCGAGTTATTTTTAGATGGACGGATATTAAGTATCCATATTTTACAAACACAAAATAGTTATAAACAGCTCATACCTCAACCTGGGTTCGGACACATGTCCGGCGGGCGAAGAACAATCTATGCTGATTATCTTATCGATAGAGCAGCCAAAGAAATCAAATGTGTGTGTGGTAACGTAAAACAGTTCCCCCCTTCTAACAAGTTCTTTTTTTTTTCGGGGGGGGGGTGTTCTGGCGGAGGGCATAAAAATTATAAACAGTTCGAAAACTAGACAGCGTGGCAGTTAATTTACAGACTACTAATTACTACATGAGAGTAGTTAAAATAATAAGCAGATAAAACGTTCACAAATATCAATAAATTTTTTATGAAAATTGTAATGTAGCCGTTCCTCAATATACACTACTGCCGGCTAGCTTTAAAAAGGATTTATTAACAGAGCACACAGGAACGGTTACAAACAAAAGAAATATACATAAAAATGAAACATATACCAAATGGAACATCAAACATTAGAATAACAGAGAAATAGCAAACTATCTTCATGGCGGCTGGAGGTCGACTGACGTTTTTTCATATCGCCACTAGACGGCGCTTAAATAAAATAGTTCGGTTACAGTTCATGAGTTCATGGCGTTGAATAAAATAGTTCAATTACACTTAAATAATTCTGTTACAAAATGTTTAGAGTAATTTCTTAGTTTCTATTTGATTCAACTTTTAAACAGCCATTTACATGGATGTGATAAAAACTAGTTTGTCCACTCCCCCCCCGGCTCATCACATTTTAAGTTTCTGCCCATCGCCCCCTTCCCTGTGATGCAACTTGAAGAACGTTCAAACGCCGGTGAATGGCATATGGACTTGATTATTCTTAAGCAAATGCCATGTCATTTGAAAAAATAAATAAATAAAGCAATTGGATAATATGCTTTTAATTCAATAGTCTTTTAAATAACTTTGAATATATGTTAAAATATCGTTATTTAATATACTATTTGCTATATGAGCAGTATTTTGAATTCCTACTTTTCATATCAGACTTATCTCGAGTATGAATTATGCGAAATATATGCTTACATTACACATGCAAGACAACAGCATTTAAAAATTAGTTGATGTTATGGATGAATCACGAAGAATAAAAGTGATAAAGGAGAAATAAATGAATGATATTCTTCTCCTCTTACATTTCTTTCTTTTTCTCTCTCTCTAGCTTCCCTGAAGGTAGACGATTTCAGCCTCGGCCGCACAGTTCGCAGCATCGAATCCCTGAATTTGAGAGGCAATCGTCTGGCAGCTATACCTCAACAAGTGTCCGGTTACAGTCTTCCAGAACTGAGACACCTCGACCTCAGCGAAAATGTCATTGGTAAAGTGGAAGAGCTGTCTTCTGCGTTGCTGCCAAAGTTGGAATTCTTGGATTTCCAGTCTAACAGAATACAAAACATTCCGTTCTACTCTCTTCCCATTACACTCAAGTATTTGGATTTGACAGGTAAGGGATTCTCTTTCAAGTATTAAGATTAGAAAGGGTAGAAAAATATTTCTGGTAAACTAGAGATAAAGTGTTACAAAGCATTTGTAGGGTATGCTTCATAATTGCGACTTCCGTGGAAACTAGAGTAAATTTAGGAATATCTAGATAACGACAGCGAACTTCAGGTATATCTGCTTAAGAGGAAAGATGTTTACGTGAAGGATGTCTTCAGGAAAACTGGCTCGTATTCACGTTATACATGGAGAAAACTATGAAAAATCCCATGCAGCCACACACTATTGGGTGGAATTTGAACACGAGTCGAAATACCAGCGTTCAGCGAATTAACGCTTTGCGGCAAAGTGTGTCCGGTTTAGACACACCTAAAAATTTTCTTCTGTACGCACAGAAAAATTGAATGAAAAAGGATTTATAGGTTACTCTGAATCTTCTTTATTTATAGTAGATGGCAGCTCAACACAAACCAGTTCATATATTTTAGCCATGTTTAGTCTTTTAAGACCCTCATTTTTCAAAGAAATCTTCCAGATTTTTTTTTAGGGTGTAAGAGGAATTGTTTGAAAAGAAATTTCTATGTTATTTTTTTGGCTGTATGCTAATCTCCTTATTCTATATTAGTTTTAAATTTTTACCTTGAAATCTTGCCTAAAATCAAACGGCGAACCCTAGGTGTGCGCAGACCGGGCTCACCGATAATCTAGGACAAGCTGAGAGTAGGTATTCTTTGTTTATCCGCATCTCATCCGTCAGTTCATTGACGAACAATGCTCTTTTCAGAAGCTTTTCGAAGCTATTTCAATCAGTGTGTCACTTTGGGCACACCCACAGAATTAAAACGATAAGTGCTATCTTAACAAAATTTTACTTGTGTACTCCTCTATGCCTAATTAGACTGCCTACCCCCTTTTTTTTTTTATCAAAACTCCGACTTTAAAAGGTAGCGTGCCGGAAAAGGTTAACCGCTGGAGGGCAGAACTTAGCGCAGAAATGAAGCATTTCATTTTGTCGAAGATTCTGCGCAAGAAATCCGCGCATTTGACCCAAGTACCACCAGTGTTTATACAGAGGAATTCAGATAAATGGAGTAAAATAAATCCTTGATATAAAACATTACAACTGGGAGCTTTTGTAAGAATTTTCCTAAGGCAGCCAAGCAATGAAATCATTTACCTTATTGTATTTTGCGCTTATACTTTTACAACCAAGTTAAAATCCATACGCATATGTGACATGGCATTATATGTGACATGGTTGAGGCTGGGCTACAAGATTGAGAAATATTGCCCATGGTTGGTGATTTTGACTTTTTTTTTTTTAAATGCTCAGTCAACTTTAGCAAAATTTTAATGCAGGAAAGATATCAGTTTGGTGTTCTCTGTATATGAATCATGAAAGATGCGAACTTTGCGGCTTCTGGTAATCATCTTTCTCTGTCGAAAATATTACTGAAATGTAGCTAAAAAGTAATAACTTTGTTACTGATGTTTGGTTGAGAAAAGCTAAAAACGCATTCGAAGGACAAAACATGTTATTTATACGAAATATTTAACATATATGAAACACGATTAGCAAAAAATAAATCTTTATTTAATATCTTTTAAAATTCTATCGGAAGAGAAATACACGTGAATGCAGAATTTAAAATTAGGCCAAAAAAAGCAGCCTTAGATTAACGTAGATTTTAAATAGAAATATTGATAGAGATTTATTCAAAATATACGCGAATTTAAGGCTGCTTTGCCATGAAGATATCCCCTCCCCCAGTCTTCCAATGCTGTGTCCCGATCTAAATATCTAATCCTCAGGCTGCATTTTCTCCCTAACGCTTAAATATTTTAAAATACTTGTACAAGGATTTACATTTGGTTTTATTTACCCCTCTGTAAAAATCATAATGTGTATCGAATGAAGTAAAGAAAATAATATTCGTTTGATGAAATTTAAAGGCCTTGTTTTTTAAAAGCAAATCTTACTAGCAACAAATCCCTTTCAAAGGTCGATAATTTCTTTAACCTTCCAACTGCAGTATTAAATCTATCGAATAATTTCCATTCAAAGCAAAACATACAAACGAAAAAAAAAAAAAAAAAAAAAAAAAAAAAAATAAAATAAAAAATAATAAAAAAGCAAAAGATAAAAAGGCATAATTCGGTGACACACAATCAAGATCGATTTCAATTTAATACTACTCGTCAATCCTGTATAATTACTTACAGCACAAAACATTTTTTTCGATATCTTTGTATTTACAGTTATCGCCATCCCACGCCTGTAATTTACCTGGCACTGAAGTGAAGACACATAATGCGGCTCTCTCAGAGCAGACGATTTAAACAGATATTAACATTCAAGATTAGTACGCCCATTGTAACAGATGTCTTAGCCGCAGATTTTTAATCACTTTTTTTTTCATATCTGGGTCAAGGCATTCCTCCATAACCATGTATTACTGGTCTCATTCAATATCGTCGGCCTTCGAACGTCAACGATTCTTTTTCCACAGAGAGCTGTTTATTTATACATCATTGGTGATCCAATAATAATTCAATCGAAAAGCGGCAGAAAGTTCTGCCACCCTCATTTTTCCTCGTCGGTTGGAATATTGATGTATGGAAAATAACCGTGGCGAACGAGATTCATCGCCTGAAGATACGCGCCATAGCCAGTTAGAAAAGCGTGCAGGAATTAGGGCAGTTTGCTTTCAATCTTGAACAAAATAAAAACCATTTCTTGCATCCGATGAATAATGATTTTTGACTGTCGGATCTTAATACTGCTTAAATGAATTGACATATATAGAGTGGTACGGGAGCTAAAGAATGTACACGTTTCTTTGACAAATTGTAAGACAGCTAAAGAGCATACACGTTCTCAAGTTCTTCCCAGCTTTTATTTTCGCAGTCCTTGGTTGTAGACATACACTTCCTGTTATAAGTATGTTTAGGTTTATACACAACATTTCATGTTTTTGATATTTTGAAATTCGCAGTATTGGTTGTAGACATACACTTCCTGTTATAAGTATGTTTCAACAATACACAAAATAGCAGTTTTGATACTTTTTAATTTATAAATATTTTTATATTTAACACGCTAAAGAGCATACTAGACAGCTAAAGAGCATACACGTTCTCAAAGTTCAGATCCCCAGCTGGTTTATTTTCGCATTGTTCTTCCCATATCCTTTGTTTATAATATGTTTTAATATACAAATACATGTTTTTGTTTAAGTAGTTTAAATAACACAAATATTCATGTTTTGATACTTTTAAATTTATAAAAAATTACCAAATTTAACATACGATTCTCCGCTCTTTGCCCGGAATTTAGAGATATTTAAGGGAATTTTACATTCATTATAAAAATTAAGAAAAATGTTTGACTCCCGTACAGGAAAAACACACCGAGCTTTCAAAATATTTAGGTATCTGATGTCATTGATGATTGCCTTGAGGTGTCGATTCACAAATAAATTAGAATTTTTCCCTGAAATGCCACTCAACGACATTTTTTTTGGTATTTACTAGGGTTAACATTCTATAATTTATAATTTTATTACAATTTGTTAAGCCGAAAGAATTTTCACTCAACACTCATGCAATTTATAAATTTTCAAACGCTAAATATACGTTATTAACATTCTCAGTAGGTTTCATTATTTTAGAATTATAATCTAATAATCTTACAAAAAAATTCATTAAACTAGAACTATTTTTCATTTTTGTTGTGTTGTTGTTGCTTATGCACACTTGTCTGACGTAGTCAGCCCGAGCTCACGAAATTCCTCGTGGCCAAGGAGCGCAAGATTACGTCTGCCGTTGGCAACAGCCTTGAGCACCTAACAGGTTGGCAGTGCGATTTGGCTCAGTTCTGCCCCCAACTTTGATGGAGAGCACCCCGGGTCTCATTCTCTCCCTTTCCACTAAACCACACGAGAGTACTTTCGGCTCGCCGCATATTTAGGGTGTCCCATGCCGCACAGACACTATACACTTACAAACATCCATACATTCTCCGGGATTCGAAACCGGGCCCTTCAGCACGGCAGTCAGCGATGCTAACCATTATACCGGTTGGGCGGCAATTTTCATTTTTAGTTTGTGCAAGTAATGTTATGAGTTGGCTACGTGCTGATGCTGAATAAACGAATGCTTTCGAGAACACGAATTCTTTAACATTCTGTGAATAAAAGCTTTTTCTGAAAAAAATTGTACTGATCAATAATTTTCGAGACAATCTGTTAACATTATAAACTTTTTTCTAAACTGATATTTTATTTCTAGTTATGTGCAAATGCAAGCATTTCGTTCTTGCATATGCATACAGCCCCTGATTATGATTCTAACTTATCTGATTAGTATCTCCGCGAATTTGTGTCGCATGGGAATCACACATTTTATATTTTATGCTTTATAATGAGTGTAAAATTTTGCTGAGTTAGATTTCGTAATCTTTACAAAAGTGATTCTTTTTTAATTTTAATTTTTATTTTAAATGCCCAAATATGCAATACTATTATTATTATTTGCAATCGGCCGTGCCAAACGTATATGTATATATATATATATATATATATATATATATATCCACTTTGTTACCCGGCTCAGTGATCACAGTTTCTTTACTCTTATATCTTTGTAAATTGTGCATTTTTTGCTTTAAAAATGATTGAATTATGTTGTTCTTATCTTCCGGTTAGGGTTTTTATGCCTTTAGTAAATCTGTATGCAATATTATTATTATTATTATTATTATTTGCGTCATTTAAAAGACTTGGAAATATTTATATACCTACGACCCAAGGTTGTGAAAATAAAGGCTGAATAAGGACTTTTGTAAACACGCTGTATATAAATTATATAAATATTCAAGCAGTTTTTTAGCCGTATTCAATTTTAAAAGACTTCGATATTAACTGCTCCGTTTTTGACGCATGCATTATCAGGTTGATTTTCATACCTTCTCGACGTATTTACTAGTACTTTGGGGGATACCTT